CATTATATCTGTTAGTTTTAGACTTTTATCTTCATCAGAGTTTGTTATCAATCTGCTAAAAATACTTACTATCCAGGATCTTGATAAAGGCTGCAATGGCATTGATGACAAAAAGGCTTCCTTACTAATGATGAACTTCACTATTGAGGAAGTCGAGTTTGCAATGAACAAACTTGGTATTGTAATTTGTATTTATTTTAAATCATACAAAATATATTTTACCAATTTCTTTTTCTTCTCATGATTCTTAATAGGTGAAGATGCTCCTGTGAACGAACTTGTAGATTTCATCTTTGCTGCTCAGTTAGCTAATGCAGATGATAAAAGAATCAGTGTTGAATTTCAGAAAAAGGTTTTGCTGTTCCACTCTTAGTCTATCCTTAATCCTTGTAAGTGAGGTCATTTTGTTCTAAAACAGGATATGCTTATTGTAATTGCAGAAAAACTATGGAGTGGGCTTGAACATTTTGTCTTTGATTGGTTTATCAATGCTGACAGGTAAGGGCAAGTTATCTTCAGAAACGTGAAGATATCTAGTTGATGTGCTCATTGATTTCAAGTGGCATAATTGGAATTATGTCATGTGGTGTTGTGTTTATTTGATAAATTTGCTCATTATAGGGTTGTAAGTCAGGTTGAATATCCTTTGTTGGCTAATTTGAGGGGGCTCCTTCTAGACCTAGTTGCACAGCTTGTGGGTGCTCTATCACAGATGAGGTGATTGGTAAATTTGGTTAGTTTTTTTCTTACTATGTGTTTATTGATGCCTAAGACTGAAGTGCATTTTAGAAGAAAGCAATGCATGTTTTGTTTATTTGTTTATTGATGCCCAATCAACCGCTTATGCATATTCAATATTAGATTGTCCAACTGAAATTCGCCTCTAATCCCAATGTTCTCCTTTTCTTTTCAGGGTAGTTGGAAAGGGTTGCAAGTTAGTTGGATGTGGTACTGCTGTACCTATTCTTGAAGTTTCTAATGATGATCTTTCTAACATTGTTAACACAAATGATGAATGGATATCTGTTTGAACTGGAATCTGTAATCGTCGAGTTCTTACAGGTTGGTTTGACTTAATGCATAAAGAATAACTTAATATGAAACTTGAGGCGAATGAGTCTTTCCCAATTCCCATTAAGTCCCTAACTTTTATAAATTTGTCCTCATCTTGTCCACATAATAACAAGATTGTCTTCATGTTAAGCCATATGAGAGAGATTGGAAAAGAACATTGTATAATGAGTTCAACACTTTAATCTGGACAACTATGGTTGCTTCTTTTTTACTTAGCTAAATTTATAAAAAGTTTAACGTTGTAATTACATGTGATTCACATGTAAATCATATATGAATTACATGTGATTCACATGTAAATCATATATGAATTACATGTTATTTCCATGTAAATCACATGTGATTAACATGTAAATCACATGTAATTCACATATGAATCACATTTGATTCACATGTAAATCACATGTAATTTATATGTGAATTACATGTGATTCACATGTAAATCACATATGAATTACATATGATCCACACGTAAATCACATGTAATTCACATATGAATTGCATGTGATTCACATGTAAATCACATATGAATTGCACGTGATTCACATGTAATTCACATATGAATTGTAATTTACATATGAATTACATGTGATTCACATGTAATTCACATATGAATTACATGTGATACACATGTAAATCAGATATGAATTACATAGATTCACATGTAAATCACATATGTATTTTTGTGAATGTTTTTGCATCAATCAATCTCTTTTTAATTTTCTTATAGATTTGGAAGAAATTGTGGTGAATATTGAAGAGGTGGAAAATGATAAATTGAA